TTGCGGCAAACTGCCCCAGCTGCTTCCGCAAGCTCTCCAGCGGCCCACCAAGCAAAACTCGATGCGCGGCGTCCGCACGAATCTCGGGGCAGCCCCCCGCCCGCCCGCCCGCCGCAGCTGCGCGCGGACCTTTTCCGTCCGTTCAGTTGACTAAGCCAGTTGTGGTTCCAGAGCCTTTCGAATATGATCCCGGCTTGTCTGATCATGGTCCTTTTGCATGAACGCGTCGCTCGTCGCGCACCCCCCGCATGATATCTGGCGACGTCGACGCCAGGCCGCGATGGAAATCCGAGAGCACATGGCACTGGGGCCTCCGGTGGAGCTCCCTATGGGGCCACGAAACGTGTGAGGAGTGTGCCGAAATGGGTGTGCGTGACGCACGCGGGCGGTAGCACTCGGGCCTTCGGTGGAGGCCCCTATCGGGCCACGAAACGTGTGAGGGGTGTGCCAAAATGAGGGAGTGACGGAAGGAGGGAGGGGGGGAATGAGGAGGAAGGATGGAGGAACGCGGGGACCGTCTCTTCAAAACGAAGACCCAACACCGCAGGATGGTTGGTCGTCCCCAGACTTTTTTTTGACAATCCTTGAATACTCCTCCTGTAGAAGGGGCACGCCCGACTCCACTCCTGACCCTCGGGAGGCGAGCCGAGGCGAGCCGGAGCCGCGCCGACCCGCTCGGGCCGCGCCGCGCCAGAGCCGCGGGCCGTGCTCCAGCTCCGCCCGCGAGTGCGCGTAGGTGCAGCTGGAGCCTGCCCCCCGCGCGCACGCGGAGGCACCACCGCTCCCGGGGCGGGGGGGGGCGCGCGGCGAGGGAACGGCAGCCGCTGGGGGGGCGAAGTCGAAGTGAGGGGAGGGGGAGACGAGGGGGGCTGGGGGGGGGGAATGTGGGGAGGGGGGGGGGGGCGGCAGAGAAAGGGGGGAGGGAGGGGAAGAGGCGAGGGGAGAGGATGTTGGGGAAAGTGAAGGGGGAGGGGAGCGGAAGGGGGGGAGAGGAGGAGGAGGAGGAGGAGGGGGGAGGAGGTAGGAGTGAGGAGGAGAGGAGGATGAGGGGACTAGCAAACAAGCCGCGTTCTCCCACTGCTCGCCGAGTAAGGACTCGCAAATGGCCTCGATCCCGCCGCGGGGGATGTACGATATGTATATGTAGCACCCCGCAATTGCGGATAAGTGTGAGGGGGCGGGCGCGGGCGACGCGGGCGTCGTCGAGCCGGCGGACCTCGTGGCCCCCATCTTCCCTGTCGATGACGCTCTCCTCCTCCTCCTCCTCCTCCTCCCTCCTCCTCCTCTCCTCCTCTTCTCTTCCTCGTCTCGTCCTCATACTCATAGTCATCTCATCCTCCTCCGACTCCTCCTCCAACCTCGTCCTCCCTCCTCCTCCTCCGCGTCTTCTCGTCCTCTACTCTCTCCCCCCTCGGTCTTCCATCATCGTCCTCCCATTGTCGTCCCCCGACTCATCGCCTCCATCATCGTCTCGCCATTGTCGCGTCCATCATCATCCTCCTCCCCCTCCTCCCCCTCTCCCTCCCTCCTCGTGCTCCTCCTCCCACCTCCTCCCCCTCCTCCCCCTCCTCCCCCTCCTCGTCCACCTACTCCTCTTTCTCCACATTATCCTTACATCCTCTCTTATTCCGCGTCCTCCTCGTCCCCTGTTTACTCCTCCTGCCTCCCCCTCCTTTCTCAAGATAACGGCAACGCAATCCTGTTTTCGACTTTATGCTCCCCGACTTCTCTGATCAAGGCAACTCGCCAGGGCAAAGTTGCTGGACGGGCTGGTGTGGATGCGCGGGGCTTGAAGAGGTCGTTGCGGGCTCAGACGGCATGCAAAAATCCGCCGCCGCGTTTGTGCGGCTATGGTTTGTTCAATGAACGTGGTTTAGGTCGCGGGTGGGTCGCGGGCTCTCCACCTCCACCTGGAAAGAATGCAAAAGCAGCCCGCCGCAGGCGCCGAAAAAATTGGTTTGTATGCCCGCCGCAGGTGCCGAAAAATTTGGTTTGTACCCTGAACGTGGTCGCGGGTGGGCCGCGGGCTCTCCACCTGAAACGAATGCAAAAGATGCCCGCCGCAGGCGCCGAAAAATGCGGTTTGTATCCTGAACGTGGTTTGGGTCGCGGGTTGGTCGCGAGTTGGTCGCGGGGTGGGTCGCGGGCTCTCCACCTGGGAGGAATGCAAAAAAAGCCCGCCGCAGGCGCCGAAAATTGTAGTTTGTAGCTTGAACGTGGTTTGGGTCGAAGGTGGGTCGCGGGAGGGTCGCGGGGTGGGTCGCAGGTGGGTCGCGGGTGGGTCGCGGGGGTCGCAGTGGGTCGCGGTGGGTCGCGGGTGGACGCGGGGGGGGGGGAGGGGGGGGGGCTGTCGCGGTGGGGGGGTCGCGGGTGGGTCGCAGGTGGGTCGCGGGTGGGTCGCGGGGTGGGTCGTGGGGTGGGTTGCGGGGTGGGTCGCAGGTGGGTCGCGGGTGGCTCGCGGGTGGGTCGCGGGGTGGGTCGCGGGGTGGGTCGCGGGGTG